TTAGGAACTACTCCAAAGGGGAAAGGGTAATGGGGAGGGGAAGTTGCACAACGCAATGGTAGGGTCTGATCAGGGAATCAGCGGAGCTCCATACATTAAAGGAATCTTCCGCGGAAAAAGCTCCGCCTCCATTACCACAGAAAAACGATACCCCTTAGGCCCCTAGCTCATAGCAAAAAGAACGGAACATAAGCGTTAGTTTCGATAATACTAATCCTACACACAAGACAAAATGATCACTCTTTCCGTGGAAGATTCCTTTAAGGTATCGTTTTCTGTGGTAATGAGGGCGGAGCTTTTTCCGTGGAGGATTCCTTTAACCAGCGCGGCAGTTCCCTATGTGAATGTGTGATCGACCCTGTTAGGCCTTCATGACTACTCCACATTTCGGTCCATTTATGAAGCACTTTCTTCCAATGTTTTCTTGTCAAGAATAATTCTAAAAGTTCTAAATGTTATATAGTCACAATAGCAAAATGCCTACCATATCAGGGTCGTTCCATTGACCTGGTCCTGTCACCTCAATCAGCTCGTTCTGGAATCGATTGTAGAAAGCCATAATGCTCAAAATCGATGCCCACGAGTTTGACACATCATTGAAGTTCCGCCAGAGGTTGCATGATTGTGCTATTGCGGTGTAGTTAATCTAAACCGCATTCATTTCGAGCAGGTTCAGATCAGCGACGGTATACAAATGAGCAGTGAGGGGTGGTCGTAGATTTGATTATGATCCTAGGCAACTACATCTCTGGAAATTCCCCACAATAAGAACTGAAAGTCATTCCGAACAAATAAATGCGTAAATGCGCTCTGCGTGATTGGTCAAGCTCTACAGAACTGTCCCAATTTCGCATCGCTACGTTGTGAACCTTCAGCCTACAAATTTTTCAAAATTGAGTTATCGATATGTTCTTGCATAGTAGTTATCGCTCCCAGCAACAACTAATCATCTGTAGAAATTTGGCTGACCTACGCTGGATTGACCTGGGATTTGATCCAGGACCATGCGCGCGGTAGTGGCCCCTGTTTTCACCCCACAATCTCTGCTTTAAGGCAAGCCTCGGGATAAAACTGGTGATAAGAGCGCTTCGTAGTGATGACTGAGCTGCGGGACGGCCTGAAAGAAAAGGAAAGCTAGAAATCTTTGGGATCGCTGAAATTAAGGCCTTAACCTTCAAAAAGGTCGGATGTGGAACGATGGCGAGGCAGGGCGGTCAAAGAAGACAAAACACGCGAGATCACGCCGTTCGAGAGAGCACGCCGATATCGAGGTGGGTGGGAAGCGTTGCAACGGGGTCGATGGTTGCAGGCCCGTAAGGATTAGCGCCCTAACCGCGCAACTTTTGCGGCGAAGCTGGAGTGATCTAGGTAGGTAGGGACCTTACAATTTCCCTCGCGGTATCCTTCCCACAAGTCGGGCTAATCCCGGGGTTTGCCTTTAAATAATATTTTCGAAATATCAATCGATAATTTTGTTACCATCATAAATACATATTTCAATGGAATAAGAGATTACCTTTTC